TTACCAAAACTGTTGTCCAGAGGGCTGAGGAAGGGTTGTTGAGGTGGTTCGGACATGTAGAGAGAATGGAGCGAAACAGAATGACTTCAAGAGTGTATCAGTCTGTAGTGGAAGGAAGGCGGGGTAGGGGTCGGCCTAGGAAAGGTTGGAGAGAGGGGGTAAAGGAGGTTTTGTGTGCGAGGGGCTTGGACTTCCAGCAGGTATGCATAAACGTGTTTGATAGGAGAGAATGGAGACAAATGGTTTTTAATACTTGACGTGCTGTTGGAGTGTGAGCAAAGTAACATTTATGAAGGGGTTCAGGGAAACCGGCAGGCCGGACTTGAGTCCTGGAGATGGGAAGTACAGTGCCTGCACTCTGAAGGAGGGGTGTTAATGTTGCAGTTTAAAAACTGTAGTGTAAAGCACCCTTCTGGCAAGACAGTGACGGAGTGAATGATGGTGAAAGTTTTTCTTTTTCGGGCCACCCTGCCTTGGTGGGAATCGGCCAGTGTGATAATAAAAAATAATAATAAAATAATTTGATGTGCCAATACTTTACAAGGGGTCGTCCTTGCCTAACTTACTGACTTTCACCAAAGTATTTGAAGTGATGATCAAGATGAGTACGATGTTGTTTATCTGGACTTAAGTAAGGCTTTTGATAAGGTACCACACAAGTCTGATAAAGTGGCAGATCATGGTACTGGAGGACAAAGTTCTCTTGGGTCAAGGCATATCTGACGACAGGCAACAGTTCGCATAGCTCAGAAATCAGATTTGGAACCTGCTTTTTGTTCACACCACATAATAATACAGGTGATGGAATAAACCACACACAATATAGCCCAAGTAATAAATTCTGAGGGAAGACCACCAGAGGGCTTTATAAAGGCTGAGAATAATAGACTGATTACGTGCTATGTGGATATATAAAAAGTCCCAATCTTACACAATACTAAATGGTAATGAACATAATTAAATCAAATGCGAGGACTATTGGGAGTTCTGGTCAGTAGAAATGTATACCCAAGGAATCAGGTGAACGTGTGTTCACTAGAAACCTAATAGTGTGCTTGGCTTCACAGCGAAAAGTATAGGTTATGGAAGGCCCAAGGTTATAAACGCAATTAGTCTTAAGGCTCAATTACATTATGCAGCATAATTTTGATCTCCACAGTACAGGGGTCATAAATACCCAGAAAATAGAAGGCTGGCAAAATTAATAAGTGATTCTAACAGAAGGATCCGCGTTCGATTAACAGATGGGGACGAGACGCTTGGGCAAGCCTCTTTACAATAGTAAGATATATACATTTATACGAAACCTTTCTTGCCGACCTCTCGCCCAGTGTGGTGGCATCTCATGGCTGGCAAAGCTCTCGCTTCACACACGGAGGGCCCGGGTTCGATTCCCGGCGGGGTAGAAACATTTCGACGTGTTTTCTTACACCTGTTGTCCTGTTCACCTAGCAGCAAGTAGGTACCTGAGTGTTAGTTGACTGGTGTGGGTCGCATCCTGGGGACAAGATTGAGGACCCCAATGGAAATAAGACAGACAGTCCTCGGTGAGGCACTGACTTTCTTGGGTTATCCTGGGTGGCTAACCCCCCGGAGTTAAAAATCCGAAGAAATCTTATCTTCTCTTAACTAGCAGTAAATATGTACCAAGGAGCGAGTCTGATACTGCCGTGGATCGCATCCTAGTGAAGGACCGGAAGGTCCTCAACGGAAATAAGCCACAATACTTTGCTTTGTTGAGTTACGCTGGGCTAATAACCCTCCAGGGTTAATGGCCCACGGTGTCCCGTGACTCAATTGGAAGCCGCCCCAGCTCGCACACTGAGGGTCCAGGGTTCGATTCCCGGCACGAGTGGAAACGTCGAGTGTCAGTATTTTAAAGAAAAAAAATACACTCGCTATAAAATACTACGGGAGCATTAAAAATAAATTAGGCATATACACGAGCAAGAATACTTGCTTGAATAGAACCTGTCTCGTACCTACCAGCAGGCCTACTATAATATTTTTATGCTCTTATTACCATAAAAATACTGAGAAACGCCGCAAACTTTGCATTAAAACCTTTAAGCCTTAATGCTGTCGTTGACAGTGTAATTATTTTAATTACTATTAGGTGCACGAAGCTGTGCAAATACATTTTACCAAAAAATATGAATCTTTCCAGCAGATCTGTAGTTTCTGAAATAGTTAAGGGAATGTTGTTCTCAGAATACAACCCCCCAACAGCTGACTCACACCCACGTACCTAGTTGCTGACATGTAAGTCAGGTATATTGAAAATCCGTAGAGTATACTAACTCTACCTTGTTTGAGTAAATTATTACCAAAGTAGCTTTCTTGACCAGAACCAACAGTTAAGCCCCAGTTCCTGATTTCATTTTGTGCCACTAATATTTTGAATACTGGGTCAAGGATGGATTTCAAGATGCATACTAGAACTGCTAAATCAAAATTAGAAAGCAGGATTACCTGTGGATTACAGCTAGATTAGATTCGACTCTAGCATTCTGAGCATCTGATCAGTAAAAGTCAAATGATTCCACTTCTAAAGAGAGCAGGCTAAATAACTGCATGTAATGTCACATTATTACTAAAATGGGAAAACAAAACACAAATTATGTAATGTCTTACTCTAACCCGTTTCTTTGGTTAGCCGATAACATTACACGAACGATATACTATAGATGAAAGTCAAACGGTGCTTTCTAACCTATAATGAATAAGCGTTAAGCTTGATAGAATACACAACAAACATGTGTATTCTATATAAAGAATCTTGGTCTGTCAGTCAAATGATTATCTCTACATTAAGGATCACTATCAATTTAAACGTCAATGATCCGTCACTCAGATGGTGCCCTCTACACCAAGGTTCTCTTTGTTAATCAGATAATGAACTAATTTCAAGGATCAATGTCACTCATATAACGTACACTACATCAAGCACCACCATCAATTAGATGATCACTCTGCATCAGTGATTAACGTCAATCAGATAGTATGCTATATGAAGAATCACTGACACCCAGATGATGCACTCAACAAGGATCCGTCACTGATGCACTCGATAAGTAAGTTTATTCAGGTACAGGGATCCGTCACCGACGCACTCTGCAGGGATCCCTCACTGATGCACTCGACAAGGATCCGACACTGATGTACTCGACAAGGATCCGACACTGATGTACTCGACAAGGATCCAACGTTGACGCACTCGACAAGGATCCGACACTGATGTACTCGACAAGGATCCAACGTTGACGCACTCGACAAGGATCCGACACTGATGTACTCGACAAGGATCCAACATTGACGCACTCGACAAGGATCCGTCACTGACGCACTCGACAAGGATCCGACACTGATGCACTTTCCATAAAGAATCACCGTCAGTCAGCTGATGCCCTCTACATCAAGGATCAATCAGCTGCTGGATTTTACATTAAGGATCACTCAGTCAGCTGATATAGTCTACATTAAGGATCACTCAGTCAGCTGATATACTTTACATCAAGGATCATTTTGGCTGACAATTAATTAGTTGATGCTTTTTTATTCTATCTACTTGCTTAATAACACTTCTCTACTGACTATTATTACGAAACTTAATTTACTTAGGATCTGGAATATTATCAGTTACTGAGATTTCATTTGCGTTTTCGTGTGTTAATTTAAACCGACGGGATATAATTCGTAAACAATAAATTACTAACTCCTAAGTATATTATTTGCAGTTGGTGTAAGTGTATTTAACTACAGTTACACCAGTTTACGTTATTACAATTATCATACATAGTCAAAGTGACTTACGTATGTATTTTCATTCGGAGATTGGATTGATACAGCCAGTCAGTGTCTTTACCAATCTAATCTCTGTACTGATTTGACGAAGCCAGTGATGGGCGAAACGTTTCCACAAAGATACACAAGTGCTGGAAGAGAGTTTATTCGTCAACTTGATTTTCTTAACTATTTATAGTAAACGATGGTGCACTCTACATCAAGAAGCTAAGATTACAACAGAGCTGTCACTGGAATGGTGTGCTCTACAAGACGCTAAGGTTACAATAGAGCTGTCACTGGAATGGTGGACTCTACAAGACGCTAAGGTTACAATAGAGCTGTCACTGGAATGGTGGACTCTACAAAAAAGAAAAAAACAGCTATCTGGGAAATAAGTCAGTGTGACTTTTTTGGGATTACCTTAGGTAATTTACACCATGTATGATAACCGTACTTATGTGTACCTAAACCCAAACAAACTTAATGACAAAACTAGACTGAACTTAAGGCTGGTGTTGCCAAAACACAGCAAAACATTAAGATAGTCAACATATCGAGCACTGCAGCATAAACATTATAAATCATGCGGGAACACGTCTAAAAATTTTTTTTTAGTAAGTAAGTAAATTTATTCAGGTATACACAAATACAGTTACATAGAATTATCATACATAGCAGCATATGTGTAGAGAACCTAGGATAACCCAAAAAAGTCAGACAGAGTGACTTTTAAATCAACATTGCTACAACGCCTATTTTTTTTTTTACAATATATGGGTAACAATAGAAGGGGGATTAATTAAAGGTAAACAAGGCAGGTCCATGCAGGGAAATACACACCTTAGCTATCAAAATAACGAAGGCTGACAGATTATTACTGCTACAGATGCTTAAATAATATATTATATATCCTCAAACACCACTTCTAGCTGGTAATTAAGTTCACCCAAGTAAGTTTATTTAGGCACAGGTACACATAAGTACAATTATCATATAGTAACATACCTGTAAATAAACTCGACCCCCCCCCCCCCACAAAAAAATCAGTGACCTATTTTCATCGGGATCCTTGCAATATATTATTTAATTACTATCTGTAGGATACAGTAGAAATCATTCATAAATTAACACTACTTACCTAAGCTGAAGGTACTACATTAAAACCCTCTCACAAGCCATGCAGAACACGAGCAAGAACTACGAAGACAACTTACCAATTTCCCGAACCAATGATACATATTTTCTTCGGGGTACTCATACTGGAAACAGATAGAGATGTACGAGTGAATTGACAAGACGGAGAGGCAGCAACACGTCCTCCCTCACCTTCAGACACTTTACAACTGACTCTCACTAGACTAGATCCTATACAACACACCCGTGAGAAAGCCCTTGAGAACATTTACCCTTATATCTAGATTTACTTGCTCTCTAGAGCCTATACAACACAATAAACACAATTTGATAGCTTAATATGGAGTACAACACACAAAAAATGAGCTCCAAACTGCCCAGCGAAATTATTCTTCGCTAAATATGTCACCAGCACAAGCAGACGACAGATTTAGCGGTAACTCACCATAATCGTTATTTACTTAATAATTGACAAAGAAAATATTTCCACAAATAAAAAAATATTTTATTTTAATAAATCATAACACTATACCAATATACGGTATATTAATACAATAATTCTAATACGTTCGTTATACATACATTCACTGGAGTGAGCCTAAGTATAAATTTTAGCGTTATAATGAATAATATATATAATAATAATATATTTTATTTCAGCATGATACAGTGGCTGTACAAAAGAGAATAAATAACATTACATGTGCATGCAGAAAGCTCCTATATATGCAGAGCATTTCGGGCAAGCTTACTTACTTAAGACAATAACAGTGTAAAATTGTATGTACAATTTTACACTGTTATTGCTTTATTAATCTTAAGTTAGTCTTAGGTGATTAGGTGAGCCATTGAGTTACAGTCAATACAAGAAAATTTATTATTCTATTAGTTCCTGATATATAGCTTTAATAAGTTTGGTAGAGAAGAATTACAGTTTTGATTATTAACCTCAGGTGGACACAATGGAATAATTAACATTACATTTGAGATGATTACAGCTATTAAGAGTAATTATATATTGATTATAATAATTTACCGATGTTCATGATACTGAACAAATTTACGTATAGGTTTTATACATATTTATTTATGATGAACTAGGATGTTGTCTGACTGTAGTTTAAAATCTTAAGAATAAGAAGGTAATAACAATAATCTATAAATTCAGGAATTTACAATAAATACAAGGTAACTGAATATCGTATTAGTTAAAACCATATATCATGAACTAACACAATATTCAGGTCTCTTGTATTCATTATAAATATTTATATTTGTATCTACACTCACCCAAGTGACTGTGAATTAAATTACTCATTTTGTTATTAAATTAGACTTAAGTTTGTCTGAAATGTTCTACATATATAGTGACTTTCAGATTCAGGAAGGATATAGGAAAGTACTGGTTTGGTAATAGAGTTGTGGATGAGTGGAACAAACTCCCGAGTACAGTTATAGAGGCCACAACGTTGTGTAGCTTTAAAAATAGGTTGGATAAATACATGAGTAGATGTGGGTGGGTGTGAGTTAGACCTGATAGCTTGTGCTACCAGGTCGGTTGCCGTGTTCCTCCCTTAAGTCAATGTGACCTGACCTGACTAGGTTGGGTGCATTGGCTTAAGCCGGTAGGAGACTTGGACCTGCCTCGCATGGGCCAGTAGGCCTTCTGCAGTGTTCCTTCGTTCTTATGTTCTTATGTTTACGTAAATGTTATTTATCTTGTACAAACATTGTATTATGCTGAAATAAACTTCTGTTATTATTATTATTATTATTATTATTATTATTATTATTATTATTATTATTATTATTTTTATTATTATTTTTTTATTTTATTATTATTATTATTATTATTATTATTATTATTATTATTATTATTATTATTATTATTATTATTATTATTATTATGTTTAAGGTATCAATTGATCTATGTATTTCATAAATTTAAGCGTGATATATTTAATAAATAATTAAATAAACATGTCCCTAAGTGCTGAAATGTTTATTACTTTAATTCTCAGCAAAATTCGTAATATTAAATAATAACAATTACATTTATAAAACAAGAATGTATTATGTGCAAAAAATCCGATCCCCAAAAAAGTTTGAATTTTTTTTTTTTACCATTTAAAATATACACAAAATAAATAATTACCACTTTATAGTGTCAAAAACTAATTATACATAATTTAAGCACTTATTTCCCTAATAAAAATTTCCAACAGGTTAATTTTGATTATTAAAGAATAATGTTAATAGTTGAGCCTCGGTGCTGTACCAAGCTTCCTGAGGGTGAAGGTCAGTATTATTTTGTACTTATCTTAATAATTCTGTACTTTTGTAGTATTTGTGAAGGTAAGTCTTTAAGTACACACTAATTACTCCATGTTAGGTCAGGTAAGCACATGTGACATTGTATATTACACGAGTTTTAGCTAGAATATTTGCTCTCTGGGAGGACTTCTTGGTGTAGGTGAAGGGTTCTTGCTGCGAGGAAGTAGAGCTGTGTTGTTTCTTACCGATGATTATCTCTCATTCCCGGGTGTTGTATGACCCATACGAGTTTAACTCTCCCTCTTGAATATAATACACGTGGGTGTCTTGATGCCGCTGATGGAGCCTAATGGAAATTTGACCTCAGTGGAAGTCAGTTTGTTTTTAATAATAATAATAATATCTTTATTTACTACAAGTACATGTACAAGGTATAAAGACCATAACTGACATCAATGACATACTACTATATAGAAAGCCGCTTGTTATGTAGAGCATTTCCCGCAAATTAGGTCAGTTTTGTCCCAGGATGCGACCCACACCAGTCCACTAACACCCAGGTACCTATTTTATACTGATGGGTGAACATAGACAACCGGTGTAAGGAAACACGTTGAATGTTTCCACCCCTTTGCAGGGAATCGAACCCGGACCCTCGCCGTGTGAAGCGAGAGCTTTTGCCACCATGCCACAGGGCACCGTGGCCCAGTTTATTTTGGGTAATGTACATGCATCTTAACATGTAAGTCATTTATAATACATAATTTAAAATTGTGTAATTGTACCTAAATAATCTGACTTTGATAAATTTTGTATTAGTTTTTTTCCAAGGACCCCAATGGAAATAAGTCACTGTGTGTGGCTTTTTGGGTTATCCTAGGGTAATTTAGGCACAGGTACACATAAGTACAATTATCATACATATCTGTAAATTACTTAGGATAACCCAAAAATAGTCAAAGTGAATCATTTCCATTGGCTCCTTGTAAATCTTATTACTTAAATCTTAAAAGTTACAACAGTTAAGTAATTCAACTGTGTAAAAATCAGTTGCAATAAGGTAAACTGAGTTAGTTACATTAACATTAAAGAGAGGATTAGCTTAAAATAATAGGTACAGTGGTACCCCAAGTTTCAAACAGCTCCCAACTCGAACAATTATTTAAGTGTATTGTTGTAAGTGCTTTTGTAAGTGTATTTTTGGGGGTCTGAAACAGACCAATCTAATTTACATTGTTCCTTGTGTGGACAAATTTGTTCGGTAACGGCTCTTGAACAGCCTTCTGGAACGAATTATGGCCTAAACTCGGGGTACCACTGTACATGAATGTTCTAGAGCTGTAAACTTGCAGCACAGGTGTTTAATCAGCATGCCAGCAGACCTAAATAATATTCACCCAGTCCAGCAGTTCTTTTTTAAGATATGATTTGTTGGGATTTTTAACCCAGAGGGTTAGCCACCCACATTAACCCAAGAAAGTCAGTTCATCATTGAGGACTGTCTTGTCTTTTTAGGGTTATCCTAGGTAAGTTACACTATGTATGATAATTGTACTTATGTGTACCAGTAGCTAAATAAACTTACTGTTGTGGTCCTTCAGTCTTGTCAGTCCAAGATGCCACCCACACCAGTCAGCTAACACCCAAGTACTGCACCTACTTACAGCTAGGTGTACAGGGTTAGCAGGTGTAAGGAGACATGCCCAGTGTGTCCACCCTTGCCAGGGATTAAACCAATGTTATACAGTGTATGAGGTGAGAGCATTGCCTAATCAAGCCACAAACTACAGGAAACTACTTGCTGGACTTAAGTCTTGCAAACAAGGAATCTGATAAGTATTCTTGAGTTTAACAAAGAACGAGTACACTGAGAGACAGCACAATAAGTGTCCAGAGCCCAAGACTGCTCAACTGCTTCCCAGCATAAATAAAGGGGATTACCAATAGACCCTTGAACAGGCACCTAAAATCAGTACCTGACCAGCTAGGTTGTGGTTCATACGTCAGTTTTCATGCGGCCAGCAGTAACAGCCTGGTTGATCAGACCCTGATCCACAACGAGGCCTGGTCTCAGACCGGGCCGCAGGGGCATTGACCCCCAAAGCCCTCTCCAAGTATACCTGTATATAGGTACGTAGTAGGTTGGTAGACAGCAACCGCCCAGATAGGTACTACCATCCTGCCAAGCGAGTGTAAGACGGAAGCCTGTACATAATTGTTTTACATGATGGTAGGATTGCTGATGTCTCTTTTTGTCTCATAAACATGCAAGGCTTCAGAGGTACATCTTGCTACTTATACTTACACTTAGGTCACACTACACATGCATGTACCAGCATATATATACACACCCCTCTGGGTTTTCTTTTATTTTTCTTACTAGTTCTAGCAGAACAGAGTTCTTCCTCTGTAAGACATGCGTGTCATAAGAGGCGACTAAAATGCTGGGAGCAAGGGGCTATTAACCCCTTCTCCTGTATCCCACTGCCTCAGTGGGATACAGGCAGTTTGTTGAAAGAAGAAGCAGCTGTATGACCTGCACAAACTAAAATCACTGTACAAGTGAGAGTGATAATGTTAGACAATCTCATGTTAAAGGAGCACAGTTGTGTCATCATCACAGATGTAAGGAAATTGATAAGTTGGATAACGAGGACTTTGAAAACAAGAGATGCCAAGCCAGTGACGACACTTTAGATCACTTGTTCTTTCTAGGTTTGATTATTGATGTCTTAATGGGTCCCCAAGGCAGGGAAAATTGCAGAACTGGAAAATGTATAGAGAACCTTCACAGCTTGTTTAAACTCAGTCATGTGCTTAAATTACTGGCAGTACCAAAAATCCTTCAAACTGATGCTTAGAATGTAGGCAAGAAAGATACATGATAAGCTACACCTGGAGGGATTGGTCCTAAATCTGTAAACCAAAATCACTACATATAAACCACAAGAGGCTTAACAGATAGTGCATCATATCTCCATTGAAGAACAGTTGAGTAATGAATATATTGAGAGCACTCAGTAAGTGTACAGAGACCATCACTCTTCAACACCCTTTCTTTATTCATAATGGGGATTACAAACAGACCCCAGGTTATTTTTAAGAGGGAAATTGACAGATTCCTTAAATCAGTTCCTGATCAGCCGGGCTGTCGTGCATATGATGGACTGAGGACAGCATCCAGGTGGTCCACTCTGAGAGTGGACCTTGCAGGTGGTGACTTCTAAAAGTAACTACAGGTAAATTACAAGTACAGTAAATCCTCCATATAACAAACTTAAGAAATACACAACAAAATCCATTGAGTTAATCGATTTGGAAATGCTGGACAGAGTCCGTTGGTTGTAGAATTGTCCATTGTTGTTACAATCATGGCTAAAACAATCTCTTCTCTATCCACTACAATTTTCATTATGGTCCACCCACTCACCCCATTACTCTGTTATATGGGTTTACTGTGCTATACAACCTCTCTTCACTTAGTGACGTACTCGTTTACTGACGACTCAGACTTATGACAGGCTCTCTGACCAGTATGCATACCTAAATAATGTACAGTGGTACCTTGACTTACAAGTGCCCCAACTTACGAGTTTTCCGAGTTACAAGCTGTCACTCAGTCAATTTTTTTGCTGTGAGTTGCAAGCCAAAATCCAAGTTATGAGCGACCTTCAGATATGCCACCAATCTCAGGAGAGAGGAAATATAAAAGACCTCGAAAATAACCAATGTGTAACATCCTTTCAATTTTGATACCACTGGTAGTGTCATCCTGCCAGAATGTTCTATAATGTATGCCCTAAGTGGAGAGAAACAATTCTGGAATATGTAATACATGTTCGGCAGGCTGGCTGGTTGGGTGGGTGGGAGGCTGGCTGGCTAGCTGGCTGATTTGCTTTGGCTGTCTCTATCTCCTTCTGTCTGTCTGTATTATCTGTCTCTGTCTATATCTATCTGTCTCTATCTCTGCCTGTGTCTGTCTCAGTCTATATCTGTCTGTATCTCGCAGGTACACACAGATACAGTTATACATAGTGTAAATTACCTAGGATAACCCAAAGTGCTATACTATGCTTGTAGATATAAGGCATAATAAGCATGACTGGCAAGTAATACACATTTTCACTTGTTCGGGAATCAGACGTGACTGACTCTGCATCATGTGTAATACCTGTTGGTTTATGAGCAGCTCTCTCTCTGAGACAGAGACAAATAGAGAGACAGGAAGACAGAAACACAGGCAGACAGAAAGACAGATAAGCAGAGACAAAGATAAACATAGACAGAGCTAGACAAATAGACAGAAACAGATACATGTTTATGTGTAACAGTGAAAAATAAAGCCAAGGCAGTGCACGATCGTCAGATGTCACTCCACTAGTGTCACTCCACTGGCAGTGGAGTGACACTCATCTTACACCTTGCTTCAAGGAGTTTCATATATCCTCCAGCATTTCTAAAATATTGCTGGGGCTTGGCAAAAAAGGCAAAAATCATTTATTTATAAATGCATTTTTCTTGTATAAAAATCCACAACAAAAAAATGGGGGTGTTTTTTAGGGGCTGGAATGGATTAATGGCATTTCAATTAATTTCAGTGAGGAAAATTGATTTGATATACAAGCAAATTGAGTTATGAGCTGGGTCACAGAACGAATTAAACTCGTAAGTCAGGGTACCACTATACATGTATATTAGAACTGATTTCCTTTATTCTGTTTATTACAATATAGTACAGTACACTATTGTATAAACATTTAAAAATGTACCAGAAATGTTATAAATGGTGCAAAGGTGACATTAAAACAATATGAAAGATGGTCGACACAGACCCACTACCATTATAGTATGCTCCTCACTTAGCGACGAATTCATTTACTAATGTAGCCTTAGCAATGAAATTCTGTCGTTAAGTGAGGAGAGGCTGTATATTATTTATTATTATTATATTAGAATGTATAATAATGATTAAACACATGTTGTGTCATACATGCAAAGCCCATAGTTATGCAGTGTGATACTGT